CCTTTTTTGAAGATGGGCACTACATTTGCCTTTTTCCAATCATCCGGGATCTCCCCCAATCTCTACGACTTTTCAAAGATAATGGCCAAAGGCTCCTCAATGACATTTGCCAACTCCCTCAGTACCCTCCGATGCATTAAGTCCGGACCCATGGATTTGTGTATGTTCAGCTTTTCTAAATAGTTCCTAACCTGTTCTTTACCCACCAAGGGCTGTCCATCTTCATCCTATATTGCATCACTTAGCACATTAGTCTGGGAGCTGACCTTGTCCGTGAAGACTGAGGCAAAGAAAGCATTTTTTACATCAGCTTTCCACACAGTATCTGTCACTAGGTTACCTCCTTCATCTAGTAGGGGCCCCACACCCTCTCTGATCACCTTCTTCTTGCTAACATGCCTGTAGAAACCTTTCTTGTTATCCTTCACATACTTAGCCAGTCGCAATTCCAATTGCACTTTCACTTTCCTGATAACCCCCCGGCATTCTCGAGCTATACATTTATAGCTCTCCCTGGTCATTTCTCTAAGTTTCCACTTTTTGTAAGCTCCCTTTTTGTGCTTAAGTTCACCAAGGATTTCCCCTGTAAGCCAATCCGGTGTCCTACCATGTTTGCTTCTCTTGCTACGCATCGGGATGGTTTCTTTCTGTACCTTCAATAAGGCTTCTTTAAAATACTGCTAGCTGTCCTGGACTCCTTTCCCCTTCATGTTAGCATCCCAGGGGATTCTGCCCATCAGGTCTCTGAGGGAGTCAAAGTCTGCTTTTCTGAAGGCCAGGGTGTGTATTTTACTACTCTCTTTCCTTGGTCAGGATCCTGAAATCTACCATCTCATGATCACTGCTTCCGAGGTTGTTACCCATCTCTACTTCCCCTATTAGTTCCTCCCTGTTTGTGAGCAGAAGGTCAAGCTGTGCATGGCCCTGGTCAGTTCCTTCAGCACTTGTACCAAGAAGTTATCCCCAACATTCTCCAAAAACTTCCTGGATTGCCTGTGTACTGCCGTATTGGTCTCCCAACAGATGTCAGGGTGATTAAAGTCCCCCACAAGAACCAGGGCCTGCGATCTGGAAGCTTCTCTCAGTTGTCCGAAGAAAGCCTCATCTACGTCATCCACCTGATTCGGTGGCCTGTAGTAGACACCAGCCACAACATCACTGCTGTTGTTTGCACCTCTAAACTTAACCCATAGACTCTCAACAGGCTTTTCTCCCTCTGTAGACTGGAGTTCTGAGCAATTACAATGCTCTCATATATAGTGGGCCAGACCCACTTCCTCAGATCAAACAATGGAAGAAAATAGTCACAACCATATATACCAAAGGATACAATTTAAAATTGTATTTTAAATTGTATCCTTTGGTATATATGGTTGTGACTATTTTCTTCCATTATTTGATCTGAGGAAGTGGGTCTGGCCCACGAAAGCTCATCACCTAATAAACCATCTTGTTAGTCTTTAAAGTGCTACATAGTCCTGTATTTTGTTTCAGCTACACCAGACTAACACGGCTACATCTCTATCACTATTCCTCATATATAGTGAAACTCCTCCCCCTTTCCTCCCCTGCCTGTTCTTCCTGAACAGTCTATACCCTTCCATGACAGTGCTCCAGTCATGCGAGTCATCCCACCAAGTCTCTGTTACCCCAATTAAATCATATTTCTTGGACTGGGCCAGGG